TAAATAAAAGTCGTCGCTCATATGTGTATATATGTATATATGTATATAGATGTGTGTGTCCTGTATATATATTTTTCTATATCTATACACGCTTTATACGTTTTCCCCATACAATTTTGCAATGTCTTGAGGTTAGAAACCATGACTACACCATGGTAAATTGTTGAGCAATCCGTGTAGGGAGAGGGCTTGCAGGATATACCTACCAAGCGAACACTTGTGACAGTGACCTTGCAGCACAATGTTTCTAGAATGATTTCAGCTCAGTACAGGAAACCGCGATTCTTGGTTTGCCACCAGGTCTCACGAGATGATGTATCAACAAGTCTGTAAATAGCCGTGATTTCAAAATGGGTCTTCTCCATCAGGATTTGTAGATTTGTATCTCATACTGCCAGTGTTAAGAAAGGCCAGAAAAGGGAGACCAACAAATTTTGAGCTTCACCAGCCTCCTAATTAGCGTAATCAAGGCAATCTTAAGCGGGATGAAGAAAAGAAATGTAAGTACATCGGCTTGTTTTGCTTAATTGTCTTCATGTATTTTTCATATTAAAGGGTCCCGGCCAATCCCACAATGAAAGTTGTACGAGCAGTGTAAAACAGCACATGACTGTTATGACCAGCCTCCATAATTTGAATAATCAATCCAACAAACCAAGCTGTGAAGTTGAGCAGATTCCGGCCCAAGCTCCCCACTCAAATTAAGTAATCAAACTTATCAATCAGCCCAGGATCTAAGAATTCGTCCAGCATCAAAGACTTGTCCTTTCAATGCTAAACTAATTTTAGGGCTTATGTCCAGACAGTCAAGAGCCCAGAAACTGAGAATTACATTTTTAAATTTGAGGTAGATATAAACAAGCAGGAGCCCAAGATTCGAGAACCCCTCATTAAATCATAAGCACACGTAGTAAGGGACATGCATGAAGAAAACAATGAGCACAGGGCTCCAGAATTTGTCCTTGAAGTGGACGCGCATTTAGTAAGGGCTTTATCTCGTATCCTTTAGATTCGCAGCCAACTTGGTACCCCCATATATAGAGAAAAGCAGCAGCCCGTATCAGACACTTGTCCTTTCAATCCAAAACCAATTTGGCGCAGGATGAAAATACAGAAAGTCAGGAGCACAGGAACCTGAAAATTCCTTTCAAATTCCAAGCATGTTTCGTAAAGGATTTATGTATACAAAGGCCGCAGAGCCCAGCATTTGAGAGTTCTTCGTTGAATTATAAGCACAACTAGTAAGGGACATCTATAGAGAAAACAGGGAGCCAAGGACTTAAATCTGCCGCGCATTCAATAAAGGTTTGGGAATCAGGAACGCAGCAAGCTGCCTGCAGCAAAGCTGTCACAACGGATATGATTTATGGTTATATCAGGGACCTAATATATTTACTATAACAAACTCGTATTGGAAGGTAAAGGAAATACATAAGATATTTTATAGGCTTAAGGAACTACAAGCGTTCAGTTGTATTTACGAAGTCCAGATTCCGACAATTCCAAAAAGTCCGACCAAGAAATCCAAAACTGAGCCAATCATAGTTCTGGAGTTTTGGAAGTCCAACTTCCAACAAAGTCCCAGGAGATCGTCACTGGAGTTTTGGAATTTTTGGAACTTGGAATTCCAAAAGTCCAGTACCATGGTTGGTTCAATTTTGCAGTTTTTGAAAGGTTTCGAGTGCTGCCATGTAAAGCCCCCAGCAAGGCAGTTCCACTTTGGATTCCTTGGGCTGCGGAGTCTGTTGGATGTCTTTAAAGCCATCAAAGAAGGTAGGTCCGTTGGGAGTTACATAGCTACACATATATATATATTTATATATATATATATATGTACACATGTGTGTAGGTGTCTCTCTGTTTCTGGACCAGCATTCCCTCTAGGAAAGGTCAATAAACGAGTCACCACCTGGTAAATTTGTTGTTCCACAAAGGGCGGCGCTCTGGGACTTGGGCTTTCTACATTTCTAATTCTTCCGCACGTCCAAGATCGTCTTGGAGTTGCGGATGCAAAGTCCATTGAGAGTGGTCTCCAGGGGAACGTTCGGATTGCTTGATGCCAGTTTTGTTGTGACAGACCTTGAAGGAAACCTTAACTTGAGCAGAGTTCGCCGTTTATGGTTGCACTGGCTGCAGACAAAGATTGCATTGTTCGTCATCGAGTGCAGCAGCGGTTATTGTTGCAATTGCGCCGGTGGCCGTCGACTTCAAGCCACCCAGCACCGAAATGGAGATAACTCGTGTACTTAAAGCCTGCAAATTCTGGGAGGCGCTTGGCGGTGCTGCAGGGAATCAGCCAGGTGGTGATTGCTTCGCAGGCCCAGCTGTCCAGTGACATGTGAATGGCGATGACACGTATGATGCCAGAGAGGTGCCAGCCGTTCGCAGTGCTGCATTTGCAGCTGCATCGCTGGGAGCTGCCAGGGTGCAGCAAGTGGCAGGACAGCGTGAGCAGCGTGATAGGTTCGACGACGCTTTCTTCTGCATTTCGGCTGCGTCATTTACTCATGTGCAGTGGACTTGTCCATCGTAGGGGGACTTGAATGTCTGCAGTGTGCGTGGGTGTGTGTGCTTGGGTGTTGGACCTTACTGGTTGTGCGTAGTTCTTGTGACTGCAAGATGTGCCCTTGGTCAACTGTAGTAGGTGTTGGCTGTCTCATTGGGCCCATTCTTGTCGCTGGCCACAATTGAGCCACGGTTTTTTTTGCGCTTGTCTATGGATACTTGAATACGGAAATAATTCCTGGGATCTCTCGGAATGGTTTCCGAAATGTGTTTCTCGCTGTACAAGGTGAAGCATGCGGAAGGTTTTGCGGAAGCATGATACTCGCGGAAGCTCTTGCGGAAGCTCCTGGCGACCATACGTAAGACTTGAAACGCTGTTCGGGGAAGCATCGCGGAAGCACCTGCCAAGAAATCATTGCGGAAGGGTCTGTGGAAGCAAGATGTTCTGAAGTGCCGACCAAGAGGAAACTAGTCTTCGCGGAAGCTCCGCGGAAGCTCGCGGGCGGAAGGGTTGTTATTTCCAAAGACATCAATAAGGAATAAAAACCACCGCTCAATTCTTTCTGCATGTGTGTATGTCTGTGCGGACCTTGCTAGAGCTTGCTTATCCTGTCTAACCTTCTAAGTCCCTGCTGCATCTCACTGAGCTCGTTCAATCCTGTTTTTCAGGAGACTTCGCAGAGCGGAATCCGCAGATAAGCGGCATTGCCAGTAAGGTGCGCCATGTCGCAGTTGCGTCCGAATTTGCATGGAAGCGCAGGCTCATTCCAGGTCTCCGCGCTTGCAACGCCAAGGTCAAGACTCATAGCTACCAAGCGGCAGACTCCATCCGGCATGTGGTCGACCAGCACGTCAGCATAGACCCGGGGATTTAAAAGCGAGCATTCACAAGCGTAGATTGTTTGGATCCTTGCTTTAGCGCGCTCTTTGGTTTTAGCTTTGAGGGTGCCTCATACGCTTCAGTGAGCCTTCTAGGTCCCGAGCTCTACAATTGCTGTGCTGGTATGCTAGAGCAACATGGCTGGAGCACACCCTCAAAATTGTCGCTGAAATCTGTACCGCTAGTCGCAGGTGTTGGTCTGATGCAGAAGGATAGAGCGTTGCAGGCTGATCTTTTGGGCTTATCCAGGTGTGACGATCTGTGCACCTCTAGTAGGTAGGCTCCACCCTGCAAGCAGCTGCATGCAGTCCTCAGGTGTTTCTAGATTTTAGGCGCTTGCCCGAAAGGATGTGGCTGGGGCGGCAGAGCGGGTGAAGGCACACAGTTCCGCAGCAGTCACACAGGCGGAAGCAGGGCTTGCCAGGGGACTTTTCAATGCACCCTTGTTTAGGCCATAAGATGAAACGTTTGTTTTCTGGGTATGTTCTCTGAAGGTTCGCCGGCTGGTCGATCAAAGCTGTGGCTCTTCGGACCTCTGGACTGGTCGATCCTGCTTGGGCTGGTACCCAGATGTGCCCGAGCTCGAAAATTTTGGGGTTCGTTTTTTTTTTTGGTTAACATGGGCTGGACTCTTGCAGCATGCCTTTTTGCAATACTGCTTTCGAAGACCGGCAAGGAAGTCACTCACTGGGTTTGCAATCTAGCTTTCACGGTAGGGTTCCACGTCATTGTGGGATGTCCTGCGCTCATCATCAAGGAGAGCGACAGCGAAGAGGAAGAGAACTGGTATGTTCAGAATATGAGGCAGAGCCATTTGTCTTGCTACTGGTGCGCACTCACCTCGTGCTGACTGTTTCTGGTGCTCTTGAGGCTCTTGCATGTCATTTGACTCAGCTGTGTCAAGCTGGCACAGGCTTCGGCGACAACGTCCATGGAAGCCTCGGGCTGGTACCTGGGTGAAGCTGTCCAACCTGCAGATGCTGGGCGGTGTGGAGTGTCCTAGGTCATGTTTGCAAGATGGTACTGTGATCGGAGGAATAAAAGTTCGTGGCAGTTCTTGTTGGCGACATCACTGTCGCAGTAGCAGCAGGGTTGCTGGGGCAGTAGGACGAAGCGGAGGAAGAAGCGGGGTAGCGAAGATGACAGCGGCCTTCGCGAACTTAAGCAGGCCAAGTCTGACAAAGTGAATGGCAGTCCGCCTGTGTCAAATGAGGAGGGCCCGTCATTTGGAGGGCTCGCTCGGTGAGGTTCTCGCTTTCGACCGCCCCTTTGACATGCATTCATGACATTGAGATTCGTTGCGCACGCTGCGTGCTTGCATGTGCTTGCAGTACAGTTTTGAGTCATACCTATACAAGAGGGACTGTGCTGCAAGGTGACAGCGGCCGCTACCTCGTGCAGCTCTTTCCTCCCCAGAATGCGCCTGTCTTCCGGGGCCAGTGCTCAGAGCTACTTTGTTCAACAAGCTGGGATGCACCCAAGGATATCCAAAACGGATGCGTTTGTGCACGGTTTGGTACTAGTTTTTTGTCGAGGTCGCCCATCGTCTCCAAGCTGGTGCTTCTCCAGCATCTTGGTCCTTTTCACATGTCCTGTCAGTCCTGTGGAACTTCCCACTTGTGAGATCAATTGAATGGAAGTGCGCGCAACAACAATCAGCAAATGAGCCAGTAGTCTTCGGACGATCTAGTGATAACACACTGTAAACTGAAGGGGTAACCTAAAGCGAAGGTCCAAACTTCAACTCAAAAACCCTGCAAAACAGTGGGGTTTTCAAAAAGGCAGGGTGTATGTTCCGGATCAGATGTCAACCCGGAATTTCTTTTGCTAGTGCATGCTCCTCCTGCAGAGTTTTGAGCAAGCGGTTTGCCCATGCCTGGCAGCTTATATACCTTCTTTACAACGCATAAACAACATGCGCAATGAACCATTCTTGGACTAACAGGCATCATCAAAAAACCGCACACTGCGCTTGCTGCACAATTTCCTGCTGCATCATGTACGCACGACAGCATCACCAACAGACAACTAGGGTGGTTTTGTTAGTCATTTCTGTCTTTCTTGATGTCACACGGCTAGTAGGCAGCAGGGTATGTTTCGGCGTGGGTGCCAGCCACGAAAACATGCTTGAAACGTGGTGCAAGCCGCTTCGACAAGTCAACATGACCCGGCCTGTCCTTGCAGCAGATTCAACGTGTTCAAAGCCAGGAACCTGCGACCCGCCTTCGATCGGTCCTCCAAGCCGCCGGGAAACGAAGCTCACTTCATCTGACTGCAGGGGATTGCGTGAAAAGCAGCAGCGACAGGTACAATCCAAAATCGGGTATTGGCCCAGATTTTGTGTTTAATGACGCCCGAGGCGTCGAGCTAGTCATGGATCAGCTTAAGATTCAACGGCACCCTCTTGCTGTCAGCAGACTTGCCACAGATACATTTGAGGTGAAGGTTAATTAGCTGCTCTTTAATTATGTGTCACTTTTGAATTACGTGTCAGACGAATAAATTGCATCCAAGCTTGATTGCAGGAACGGGATGGCTGAGAACTCATTGTGCGGAGATTTCCTGCTCCATTAGCTGTGTGACAGCACGTGCCCAGCATACACAGCAGACAATGCATTGCAGCATTGCGCCACGGTGTACAGAACTTATCCTTTGCCCAGAGCTTTTGGCGCAGCACGCTTGCCCCCATGCCAGAATGGCGTGCGCGCGCGGGACTGGAAGTGAGCCTGGTAGAACACGATTCATGCGCGCAGCCATGAGGCCCAAAGCAAAGCCAAGCGCAACCGATAACTGTTTCTCCGAATGTACACACAACGGCAAGGACAGGCCGCCTCAACATCAGTTCTCACCAAGCCATCCCGAGAGAGTGACACTCTACCTTTGGCAGCTTAGTGGCTTAGTGTCCCGCGGCATGTCAAGTGACCTGGTTTACTGTATGGGAAACCGCACGTAGGCTGAGCTGGCGAGGCTAAGCTTCCAGAAAGCGATGAACGGCCGAAGACAACAACTAGGAAAACCAATTTCCGAGCTTGGACAATCTGACCCATGAGAGAAGATGAAGTGACAACACTTGCTGCGGGAGAAGTAGCTCCATATGGATGCCAGCGAGAGCCAGTCCACCTTGGTCAAAAGCAATTCTGCTTCAAGTGCAAAAGATTCGTAGAGTCAATCAAGGCTAGACAAGTTTGGCATGTCCCATGGGCTCCGACTCCGACTCGCCAGATGTTTTACCGCCTGTCAGGCAGAAAACTTACAACTGGGAGGAGAGAGGGGTAAAGCTGTTCGGGATCAATGCTACGCTATGCTACGCTGCTACGTATAGCTTAAGACCGCAAGCGTGGCCCTTGGCAGGGGACCGCGCGCCTCGCGCGAGGCGTTGTTGGCTGACAGTGATGACTCTCCAGCCGAGGCAAGACTAAGCACAAGGATGGGACCTATGGGTTTGCGTCCAGCATGACTCGCCACTTTGCCAGGCTAGCACGCAGAACGCCACTGCACTCCTGCGTTCTGTTGATAAGCCTCGTGGAGAAGGCGACTCTGTAATGGTGTGCCCTAGCAGAATTCCTTCCTACTCTTTGCTAGTCTAGATGCTGGATGGTGTTTTCTCTGCAGACTTCAGCATGCCAGGAGCGACAGATGGAGTGCTCGAGGTGGCTGGGGCTGCTTCCGGATTAGCGCAGGGCTATGGGCTTCCTCAACTCCGCTCCGCCCGGTACAGTTCTTCTAGAGAAGCGATCTCATGCGTCAGGTGCGTTTGCCGTAAGGTATGTATGTTCGAGGTCTCAGGAGGCGTTTGAAGGACCTAGAGTGTGCATTGCGGTCAGTCGTTTGGAATCCAGTCTTTGCGCCCTATTTCCTCTGGCCAGGTTAATGCTGCAGTCAGCAATGTGGCGCGGCCGCGGAGGATGAGCTCAGATCTCCGGCTCGTGGTCCAGGATGAGGTTGTGTGCCTTGTCAAGGTCAGCTCTTTAGAAGGCAGGCGTATGAGCAGTTTGCACATGTAGGAAGCCTAGGACAGCTAGGAAATTGTTGAAATCCTTTCATTTCAGCATTTGTCGAGGTCTGAGTTGCGCGCGCAGAGGCATTTGGGGGTGAAACTGCACTATGCAGTCGTGCAGTGCACTTTAACATGACATCGTTAGTGTCCTTCTGTTACGACTGCTGAATGCTTGCCGCTCTGAGCCACTTGGAGGCTCGACATTGATCAGCTCCAGCGGCATAGCTCGACACTCCGCGAAGAGATGGAAAAGCAGAAGCAGGTAGTCAAGCTCCTGATGCATCTTGATGTCAATGCGTGAAGCCATTTTGTTAGTTAACAAGGCACCATGCATAGTGTACGAGTTGTGTCAGCTTTTTACCAGAAGAGTCGTGCTCGTAGGTAAGAAGCCTAGTCCTAGTTATTGGAAGTCTCTGATATGCAGCTAAACCGGCCAGCGGAAAGAAGCAAACATCAGACAGGAAGAAACAGATGGTTGATGACCTGCATCTTGCGGTGCTTGGGCCAATACTTGCTAACACTCGAGTGGCAACTCAAATGGGAGGCCCGGCATCGATAAGAGAAGCTGTATATACGCTGCATAGGCTCCAGTGAGGGTTGTTCGCCAAGATTCCCACTGCAAGCTTCTGAGATATCGAGAGACATAGGATGGGGTAAGGAAGCCATCCGCAAGTCGGGAAGATCTTCAACACCTCCAGGGAATAAGCACGGGAAACTCTCCCACATTCTCCCACCATCCCTTCAACATGTTATCTTGAAATCTTATTCCAAGCTGCCAAGACGGGCTGTGTTCTCTGAGGCTTTCAAACGATCAGCTCCTGGCTGTGGTTGAGGAACAGCGTGCCCTCATTGAGCAGCTCCGCTCAGAACTACGGCTCAGCGCGTCAAGGACTCTGCGTTCACCATTCCTTTAGAGTTGAGATGGTCTCTAGTGCAGAGCAGCTGAGAGGATAGGTGCACAGCTGAAGCATCGTATGATTTACTACATACATGAGACAGGGCAGTTGCGTTGCTCCAGCAGCTGCCATCTCAGTTCCGCCTGGCCGCCGCTAGTGCTACCGTAAACGACAACTGCTGCTGCTACTGCGACTGCTACGGCAACTGCTACCACTAGTACTGCTGCTACCACTACTCCTACTACTGCTGCTTCTGCTGTTGCTGCTACCCTTACTACCACTAGTTCTTGTACTAATATTAGGAGATCTTTGCATGTTTGACTGTGAACTTCTCTGCGTTTGGTGTCAAAATCGATGATTTGTCGCGTTTTCGCTTCTTGGGGGGCGCAAGAGTTTCGTGCCTGGCATCAGGAGTTCAACCGATGCACTCCTGCCCCGATGTCCACGGTTGTCCCAGTAGTTCAAGCCAAGGGCCTCTACCCAGTTTGTCTACCAATGAAGAGGCCTCTGGCGTTGCCTCTACTCAGTATGGATCTTGGAACGAAGCCTTCTTTGGGATCCGTTCGCTTCTTTGACATGGTTTTTGAACAGATGGGCTTCTCGGACTTGACAATACAGGAGCCTTCTTGCAGCGGAAAAAGCATGCCCCCCCCCCCTCCTGCAGACGTCAGACGAATCACAAATGCCGCGCCGACCAACACGCTCTGACTTCTGCATACACACACACACACAAGTCTGTAATATTGCCTACGATGCATGTGGCATGAGTGGCCCCTTCTATGCTAATTACTATACTGTTACTAACTACTTGTACCAATAACGACTACTACTATTACTAGTACTGCTACCACCACTACAACTATTACTCCCACTGCTACTACTACTACCTCCTCCTACTACTACTACTACTACTACTACTACCACCACCACCGCCGCCACCACCGCCGCCGCCGCCGCCGCCACCGCCACCACCATTACCACTAGCACTAGCACTAGCACTAGCACTAGCACTAGTACTACTACCACTACTACTGCTGCTGCTGCTGGTACTACTACTACTACTGCTGCTGCTACTACTACTACTACTACTACTATTACTATTACTACTACTACTACTACTACTAGTAGTAGTACTACTACTACTACTACTACTAGGCATACTTGCGG